GTTTTCCTGCTGGGCACAGATTATTCCAGGAGGAACTGAACAGACACAATCTTGCTGTTTTTTTAAAGAAACTTTTAAGAGAGAGGAAAGAGGGCACATTGCTCACTACCCCATATGCTCCTCAAGCAATATGCGCTGCTATCAATGCCAGCCAAACAAGTACTGCCAGACCACAACCTGGAGAGAGGGAAAGGCACATTGGATTTTTTCTTGGTCCCTCAGACCTCAAAAATGTGTACTAGTGGAAAGGGCAATGTCTTTATATGGAGCACACAGCGAGCTACCTCCCACGCAGACTGTGGGCTAACGGATGTAGACTCCCTCAGGCTCGTGTTACTACACAATTGTAGGGACAAGTTGTGGCTAGAGATTTCTTCTTACTTCCTGCTGAATTTGTAAAAATTCTCCCCTTTCATGGAACATCAGTTTCCAAAGAGCACAGAGAGCTCCTTTAGCCCCCAGGGGTGGGAATAGTGATACAAAATGTTTTTCACCACAGGAACGGAGTCCCCATGCGGGGGGATGGCCACCACATCCACCTGTCCCAGGATGGAAGCCTGATCATAAGCAACGTCCAAGAGGCTGATGAGGGATCCTACACATGCAGTGCCTACAGCAGGAGTAACTCTGTCAGTGCCAGCACGGAGGTGAAAGTGCTGAGGAACAGGCCTAGCAGTGAGTACAGCCTGGTCTTCCTGCTTCTCCCTGCACAGTGCCTGTATCTTGGCTGTTGTTATAAGTCTGCTCATTGCGTGTGCCAGTCCACCACCAACCTTGGGCTTTGGGGAGCAGCAGGAGCCTGCTTTCCCTGGGCAGAAAAGCAGGACGGTGCAAAGCGGGGCACTGGGAGCCTAAATAACATCCTGAGGCCAAAATGCCATAGTTGGTTGACCAAATAGTTGGCTGCAAGGTTTGTAGTTGGACTGTGGACACCATTCAGCTGACCTTACACAAAGTGTAGGTTGAGTGGTCTCTTGTCAGGAGGTCAGCCCCTGAAAATGCGTTCTCCTCCTGTACCTCACCAGAGGTGTCAGTTTCATCTTGAAACTCATCCTCTCATTCCTGATGTTGGACTAAATTTAAAACAATCCCCTCAGAACCAGTGAGGTAGAGGAAGCAGGAACATATGGTGTCTTTTGGGAGGGAAAAGCAAGCTGAGAATAAATTTACAGCTGGTTCACCTTTTGCTTGACTGCAGCTACTACAAGTCATGTTGTGGATCTGAGTAGAGAGTGTGTGGACCAGCCCCACCTCGCCAACTGTGACCTGATCCTGCAGGCCCAGCTCTGTGGTAACGAATACTACTCCAGCTTCTGCTGTGCCAGCTGTGCTCGCCACCGACCGCAGGCCAGCGCACCGCATCACCGCGGGTGACAGGCACCCCCACGGCCACGTACAGGTGACCCAGGAACGAGGCTGGAAGTCTGAACTCTGTTCTTTGACCGCATGGGACTGTTCTGGGAGCTCCGCGCTGCTGCTCAAGAGGGTGAATTGAACAGTGTGTAGTGGGTGTAAAGGTTCAAATGTGGGAGACCCACTACCCTCAAGTTTATTGTAAACTCCTTTTCCCCCCTGTGTGCCTTGCTGTACCTAATCCATCTCTTCAGGGTAGTTGCTGTCATTCACATAACAAGATAATATTGGGAAAGTAAGGATGATGTGACTAGAGAAAGCAGATAACCAGCATGAAAGAGGGAGACACCAATTCTTTATACAAGCAAGAGAGAGAAGAGCTCTTAAAAAAATAATCTCTGAAGTGTTTGAAGTTGGGCCTGAACCACCTTAACCAAAGCACTAATGAGCAATGAACATTTGTAATCCTGAGCAGTGCTTTCCATCTAAATGCAAACAGCTAAATGAGAGACAGCTGGATGCATATAAAATTAGTGTTTGGGTTCCAGGGGCTTACTAGCTCTGGGGTTGCAGCTGCAATGTCAGGTTACTGTAGCTGTTTTATTCCAGTAGACTTTAGACAAATTTCTAGTAGGGTCAGTTTGGTTTCTACTTGACTATAATCAGCTTTGGAGTGAAACACAGGAGCAGTGCTTCACAGAAAGATTAAGACAAAACAGAAAAAGACTTCTAGCCCTTCGTGAATGTAAGGGGTAATTTAGATGAATATGCCAACACTGTTAGCTGTTCTGAGATGCTGCAGTTTAAATATCACTCATTCTAGGAAGGCTCAACACAAATAATTTTTTTCCTCAAACCAGAACTGTGCTGTTCAATTTATCGCAAAACTGGGGTCAGTGGTAGCATTGCACTGAGTTTCAGCTTGGAGGAAACAAATAGTATACACATAGAAATACATGTGTAGGTGCATTTGACTTGACAGAATAAACCTCCCAATGATCTGCTGTAGTCTCAATTAAGTCCTGGATGGCCTGGCTTTCCAGGAAAAAGTTAGTTGTCAGGGAAAGCCTGGTTCTGCATGTGGCCTGGGCTGATGCCTGCTGCTATGGGCTAACAAGCTAGGACTTCCAGATGCACAGTGGCTGTAGCTGAAAAGTATCCTTCATTTCAAGACTGAGAAGGATGAGGCTCTGAAAGTCTCAGGCGGAAGGTGAGATTATATAATTATATTCCTGTTAAACCAGGAAAGGCCCTTGGGCATCTTCAGTATCTCAAAGTGGAATTATTTCTGAGCAAAAGCATTTTTTTTACAGCTTCCACACTATTGTTTTACCCAAGCATCAGCCCTGACACTCCCCTTCTTCCTCATTCCAAAGTCCCTGCTGAGACTTGGATGGGTTGACCATACTAATTAGCATCATTACCCATGTATTATTTGCATAGATGTAGCTACAAATTAGGAGACTGGTGTGTAGATGCTGATGTTTTGTTTGGGGGGTGGGGGTGGATGGGTTTTTTTTACTTTTGTCTTCTACTTGTGTTACTTTAAGACTTCTAAGGAAGCAGCTAATTCAGGACTGTGCTCACACCACACTCCTTCAGTCCCGACTCAGTACCCATCAGAACAGCAGCAATATATAGGTGTAAATCCTCAGGCTGACAGCCTAAAGGTGGTTTGTACTCTAAGTCCAGTAAATCAGTTTGGATGAACCTAAAAATAAGAATTACTGACCTGATGATTGCACTCTCATCGGCACAGGTGTGGCTTCAGGACTGAACACACTGCTTAAAGATGTGAACAAAACTGAGAAGGCTAGAAGCAATCCAGTACAGGAGTGAGAGGTGACAGTCACACAGCTATTTGGGGCTGGGTCTCTCCCTGTGGTCTGACAGATACTGTTTGCTAGAGAAAATACTTATTTTGCAGTTAAGACCCTTTAATTTGATCAGGGAAAACTTCCTCTGCTGTAATGCAGGGCAAGTGTTACAGTTAAGTTTTGAAGTAGAAATCACTGGCTATTTAAGAACAATGAGATAGTCCTGAAAATTTCAAACTCTGTTTGTACATATTTTTGCATTTCACAGCTCAGACCAGCACCTTTTTGTGTATTTAGGATATTATAGTAGGATTTTGTCTTTTGAGACCAGAGGACTAATCACAGACGCTGTAAATTCCAGTCTTATTGAAGCCCTCAGTTTATATGTGACAGGCATCCACGGGTAGTCAAGGGCTGCAAACCTGCTCAGGGGCATGGTTAGAAGGTGTATCAGACTCTTGTCCCAGCGTAAGTAGTCAGTTCTATAAAATTCCTTTCTACTATGTCAGAGGCACTATTTTTAGAGTATTTAAATATTCTCTGTAGTCAGCTATCATTTAAGCTGTGTGGTTACACAAGATGGGGTCAGAAAGTGCTTTCTCAAGACTTATGAGGGCTGCAACAGCCCCCTGCATTCTGACAGCCAGGACTTTTGACACTGAAAATGCTTTGTTTAGGGGAGAGTTTATTCTGACCTCCTTTCAGCTACATAACCATGGCAGGAAGGATGAGACTGGCAGGCATGCAGTTCCCTGCTTTAAATACATGCCATCACCGTAAAAGTTATCTAATGGGTCTTTACATTTCTTCTATTTGACAAGATGAGCTTCTCCCTCTCTATAGTACCACTTACTTAACCACTTGACTCAATGTTTACTTTTTTAATCCAAGAATCAAGATGTTAATTTTCTTCCCTAAAAACAATGGATTGTAGGAAGTTCTTATCTCTAGGGCAGGAGAAGGGTGTAGCTATACTGGGCTATTTTCAGCTATCTTGGGGCACTTACTGTGAAAGCTATGAAACTAACAGAACAACTTATAGCTACTCTGTTTCCTACTATAAATGTCTACAACTATGTTAGCTTTTTGGAAGCTGAAAAAAGCATTAATACCAAGTCAAATACCATAGGGAGTGTTTCCATTTCTATTCATATCATACTGAAAACAGGTAAAAATCTGTAAAGTAAAAAGTCACCGGTTTTTAGACTGTGTCACTGTGTGACTCACTGTACTTGCCTGGAAACGGAAGCTGCTGGCAAGCTCCAATATAAGGGGCAGACAAAGGAAGCATTTCTTCCCCTTCGCGTTACGGAGTCTGACTTCTCCTTGTGTCTAAACTGACATGGTGCCCATAAGAATGCAGTGAGAACCAGTCATACTAACAGGGTAGATATGAGCTCACTGGAAGAACAGAAAAAGAGTGAAAACACACCATCATCTCATAGGGCTCCTTTTAGTAGTAGGGAAAAGAAAAACAAAGCGAGTTTTCCTCTTTGCCCTTACTAAATGTTAATGTCCTCATATTTGTCTCTCTGTGAATATTCAGTGACAGAAAATGCAGTGATGCAAACCTAGAATCTGATGTTATCAGTAACGGCCTCCATTTTAGAGCTTTATATGGTTATGGGTCACAAGGATATTTTGCAAGTTCAGTCTTAAAGTTCACGGTAACCTTACACTGTAATAAACAAGAGGTGTTAAGATTATTCTTAAGCTTTTAGGTTGGCAAGCAGGGCTTACCTATATTCACCTAACAACACAGAAGATACCCAGAAGGGCAAATACTGAAAACTGAATCAGGGTGGGAAATAAAACTTTCACAGACAGTGCTTCTACCACCAACATTTATTTCTGTTAAAGCAGATTATAAATCATCAGTACAAATATATATAACTTACATTTGCTTGTAAGGCCAAAGTTTAAAAGTAAAGTTAAAATGAGATGGTTTTCACAAGTCACCAGAGGCAGAACCTGGACCAGCTGCAGCCTTAACCACAAGGTTTCACAAATCAGTGGGAAAAAACAAAACCAAAGTTAAAAACTGCTAAGAACTATTGACAGACAAACATAAAATGGTTTCCCAGGCAGTCCCAGGATATAGATATGATTACAGTAAGTTGTCACAGTAGTGTTAGAACCAAGAGATTAAGACAAAGAAACTGCAGCAATATATGAAAGGAAAAAACCATACTATATAGAATATGTAGACTGATTCCAATAAAAAACAGTAAGTTTTCCCCATGGTTTTTGAACCATGACAATACTGTTCTTTAATTTTCTTTGTTTAAAACTACGATATAATGACTTATTGGTTGTGATTGTTGTTGCAATATGCTACTTACAATGAACAGATACAAGAACAAGCTAGAGCCCCTTTTTCCACCCCCCCAATATTACTTACAATAAGAATCAGAGATAAATCAATCTTATGTACAATTTCTTACATCCAACCCCCATTTTTTTAACCTTTGGCAAGATTACTTACAACTCATACAGCTTTTAATATCCAACTATTTAAAATATTCTAAATGCATAAAAATAAAGATTTTGGCTTTACTTTATTCTTTACATATAATATTCACTTTGTTACTCAAAATGGAAGCTCAACTTTTTCCACAAACCTAGCTTTTGCTAAGGTGACAACATCCCATCCATATCCACCCCCCCACCCTACCCCATTTTTCCCTGAGGGGGAACATCCAGGACTTGCAGGGCATCAGAAGGACACAGGTACAAAAATCTGCCTTCCTTTCTGTGTGAGATGATTGATGTTTCTGCAGAACAGGCTTTGGGACTGGGTGCCTTTATTTCCTCCATTCAACTTCCAGCTTTCCAAGTGAGGAGGGAATGCAGACTGGGGTGACTCCAGGATTCTTTTTAAGAACTGCACATTAAATTCTCTGTATGTTTATGTCCTCCCCATAATGCTCCCTCTTTCTAACCCATATTTGTTTTAAGGGACCTTTGGGATTATCAAAGCAAACTGATCAGAAACAGTCCCCTTTGCTCCCTTTATCCCTCTATCCTAATGTACAATTTATCCATCTCCCCCATAGGACTGCTTAAAGTTCAATCTCAAATGTCTTCTGTAAATCGCTCGAGAAGGGGTTAGTTGGGGAGGGATTAGTGCGCTGTTTTGCCTTGCTCTCTAGTGCTGCCCACTGTGCTTCAAATGCGTCTACCTGTGGAGCAGCCACGGGGGGCTGGGAATGCTTGTCCTCGGCAGCCCATTTCCCTCCGTCGACTCCGTTGAAAGCTGCGGAGCCGTTGTGCTGCGCGGGGGGGTTGAAGAAAGGACTGGCTGTGGCGCTGCTGCTGCTTTCGTACTGCGGGAGCGTCTGCTGTTTGACAAGACTGGGAGACTGATGCGGGTGGGCTGCTGGAGTGTGGCTTGCAGTACCAAAGACGTTGGCTACCATCTGGGAAGGTGTGATTCCAACCACAGGGACGCTTGGGGCTGTATAGGTCATCCCATTTGCTACAGCATAGGGCTGAGCTGGAATAAATGCTGGCTGCATGGGCGGTACCACACCCACCGGCACAGGCTGAGGTGCGATGAAGGTGCTGACTGGGAAGGCTGGTGCTGACTGGGAAGCTGGAGCTGCTGGAGGAGGCTGGAGCAGTGGCTGTGGGGCTGGGGCTGAGGTTGGCTGCTGTTGGGCTCTCACAGTCTTTGAGACCTCTTCCAACCAGCGGTCTGCCTCTGAGGGAGTACGTCTGTGATTTCCTTGGAAGAGACTTGGTGAGGCTGCACCTGAGGAGGTGCTGCTCCATTCAGTGCCTGGGAAGAAAAGCATGGGCAAGTCACTGATATTTCCACTCCTCACTCTTTTATAAGTTAGAAAGGCTGGAGGGTATACACAAGGACAGACAGGCCTCCTCCCACCATGACTGAAAGATGCTACCAACACTGGAAGCATCTTTATGCATCCACTGCACTGTTCTGTTCTAGGAAGACATTTATCAAGAAGGGGTAGACAAGAGCTTTTTTGCTAAAATGCAGATTTATGGGTATTTTTCTTCATAGGAGACATCTAAAACTTTAGGGCACGCAGAAGAGCATGCAGTTATGAGCCTGCACTCATAACTTGGTGGCAGTGATCTAGTCCATAACCACTAGTTCATCTGACTGGGGAGTATCAGTTGCTGAATGTACAGCCAGGACTGGTGGACTTACAACACAAAGCTATAGAAACTGTTTTAAAGACAAAGTCTGGTGCTCTTACGAGGCCAAGCAGAACCTACTACTTCACTAGCAGAGTTTCTCTTGTCAAGTGGCTCTTACACCAGGAAATTATGTTAGTTAAGATTGTAGCCTGCTACAACACATGTCCACATGGGTGGCAGCCATTTCAGGCACCTCCCTACACCGTGTATAACTGCAGACAAGGCCTGGAGGAACAGACTAAACTTACTAAACAGGGGAAATGAATCTCTAAAGCCTTTAAGGAACCAACTTAATCCCTCCTTATGTATGCTAGTGGAAAAAATACACAAAAATTAATTTGGGTGCACATCGATTCTTTCCCCTTCGTACACACACACACACATACGCAACTTCATTACTTCCTTTTTAAGCACTGAATTTTCTAAAATGCTGCCAAAATAAGAATCAGTCCAAATTATAGACCCAGAACCAGCAAGTTCATCGCTTCCCTCCATCCACTCGTGCAAAAGGCTACTACTTCCGTCTTTTGTTCCTGTTCCTTCCACTTGCCATTAAGTGGCACTGACAGTTGTCTCAAGGGCTTAATTATGCTTTTGATCCAAGTTCTTATAGCAGCGCACCGGATCTACTTCCAATCTTACCAGTGACCACGGCTGCAGCTCCAGTATTAGCAGCAGGAGCATGAGCCCAAGGATTGGTTTCACGAACTGGCATAGCTGTGGACACTACAGCAGCTTGGGATGGTTTAGCAGCAAGCACACAGAAGGCAGAGGCAGTGCCATTAACTAAAATGGGAGCAGACAACATCAGTGCGATTAATTCATGCAAGGCATGCACGTGACTGGAATATTAGTGGGCCAGGTCATACCTATCAACATACAACAATTTTAGACACTTCCACATGACAGCAGTTTGTGTAAATTAGCCAAACTGGACTGACAGTCAATAAAAGTAGTAAATTCCATTTCACCAAGCCAACACTTGTGAAGAGAATTGTGGGATTGAGAATTAATTATGTATTTTAAGAGGACTTGAATTCTGATGACCAACGGAGGTTAAATTTGTTGTTTTTATAAGGAAGAGAGAGGGTTCACCAGAAGTTACTGTATGCTTAATTTTAGATTCAAAAGAACACATTTTAGATACAAGGTAACAATAACCACATTTAACATGGAGTGGTTCTTTTTTCACACAACTTGCATAAAAGCACAGCAGTGAAATGAAGATTAGCAGCTGCTATGAGTTCTATCTCTCCACAACTTATCTAAGAATTTGTGTGAAAAATAGTAATTGTGGTGGCACAAAATCTCTTCTCTTGTGAGATTTGGTTCCTATGACACACAATTGGTAACGTTTTTGCAGTTCAGGAGGCAGAATGTTAAAATAGCCATTATCTCATGCCAGTCCCTTTTACAGGTAACTATCGTGTGGTAGGTGCATGAATCTTTTGTTACAAACAAAACCACAGAAAAACTAAACAGACAGGATGAAAAAAGCCGGATGCATTCACCTAAAATACTGGTAACAGGACTTGCACAAGAAATTAAGACCACGTGTTACTGGAAAGCAACATTTTGTGCGTTCAAGCCTAATCCAGCGTGACCGCGGCACGCAAAGAAATCACAAACCTTGAAAGGCAGGAGACTGTGGTGCGACTACTGTCACTGGTTTTGTCATGGGGGCCGAAGAGAAAGGGTCTTCTGAGGGTGTGCTGAAAGCACTGGTGATCTGAGAGCACAGGGCACTAATGCTGTCTGTTTCCCCTTCTACCTCAGGGACTAAAATGTAAACAGAATTCATTAAATGGGAAGTTTAAAGGATACAGAAACAATTTACAAATACCAATGTGAAACTGAAATATAATTAGTTCCCTTATGTCCTAGATGGTCTTGCTACTGATTTGCACGACAGCTTTTTTTAAAATTAGTGTTGACGATCTGACCTGAAATAGAACACCACATTAGTGTATTTTGTGACTAAGTCAAGAGAGTAAGGAGATCACCATTCCAAATTTAAAGGATGCTCATAGCAGAAGTAAAAGGGTTTTCTATAGCTTTAGTAGAGATCTAAATCTTTCAGTATTAAAGTGCTAAAAATATCAAGGATTTGGTATTAAGATTTGGCACTCTGTGAAATAAAAATACTTATGATAGATTTAAGTGTTCCAACAACATACTTCTACAGTAACTACATGAAGTTTAAATGTGCTGACAGCAATGCAGAGCAGCAAGTTAATTCTGGAGTTAGAATGTTGATTGTTCCAGTTCAGCAGTAGCCGAAATCCCCAGCTCCTGTGCTAGAATCATAAAAGCAAAAGCTGAATGCTCAAATAAAATGGACACTCAGTTTTAAACCAAGTATCAGCATCATGTGGATAAAGTAACATCTGGAGTAAAGCTGCCAGCTTACCAGATGTTCTCATTATTACTAATTGCATTGTTTATCAAAAGTACCTATCATCAGTCCTTTGTTGCACAGAACTGACATAAGCAGGCATAATCAAGCACAAATAGTGTAAGAAACGTAAGATGGCTGGACTCAACATGCACCATACCTAAAACATAGGGGGAGGCATGCCCAAAAATTGTTTCTTTGAGGGATAGTCCAATACAGTGCATGTAGTGTGACAGTAAGCAGCACTGGCAGTGGCATATATGGAAGCATGCATCATAATTGGTCTGAATCATGAAAAATTCAGATTGTAGTGTGCTCATTGAGTATCACTAATGAGTAGTGCACTACTGTTGTAAAACTGATCAACTCAGTGCTGGTCTTAAAGCACAGGAGGAGTCAGAGTAAGTTTTTTTGTTGAGTTTGCCTTTGCCACAATGATTTTTACTTCAAAGCTTAGAACCCCAAAACGAGCCCTGTTGCCAAGTGAGAGTACAGCCGGCCTCCAGGATAACCTAGCTAAGGGAACTCTAGGACATTAGGCAAGGTACTGAGCATCCCAGGTGTTTATGTTGGGATGACTTTAGAAAACCGCACTACCATCACGTGGAAACTGTACAACTTAAACAGTTAAGTTTCTTTTAATGCAAGGTGAAAAGCAATTTCATTGTTCTCAGAAAGAATTCAGACAGGCAGAAGGACAGACAATCATCACATGATCCTCTGACAAGTGGTTAAGGCCTTGAAGGGATTTGTCTCTCAGGATGCCCTGACAGGAAGTGGAAGAACTGGTTCAGTGACTCAGAGGGAAGAGCCAGCACCTACTAATTCACCAACACCCATTCCTGGAGCACTTCAAGCTGTGATCCAGTATTTCAGACAGTGATTAGAACATTTTGTCTTCTGCATGTGGACAGTGCATTTGAAATTCTTGACTATTTCAAAAGCAGAATTTTTGTGACATAGCAATGTTTGTTCATGATAAGTGATAACATGAAGAAGAAGGATTTACTAGAAAATAAGGAGTTATTTGAAGCCACAGAGAAAGAAAGGAGGAACAGACAATATAAGCTAATGTTTCACTGGAACCATTTGGTTTTACCTGAGTTTTTCATGGGGAAATCGGTCTTCCTTTGCACTGTTGAAGGCAGCTCATTTATTCGCAAAGACAACTGGCGTTTAAAAGGAGACATCTTTTGGCTAAGGGCAGGGAAGCCCCTGAAAGACCCTTGCCTGGCAAGCTGCTCTATAGGGGCATGTCTCCGTGGGATAGCGTGGGGATTGCTCATTTCTTTATCCAGAGAGGAAGCAACTTCAGCAGTAGGAGAGGTTGGTGAGCCAGAAGAGGGGGCAGTATTGTTTGGTGCAGCACCTGGTGCTACTGTTTTCACTTCTGTTTCAACTGCTGGAGGAAACAGGATGAGGTTAGAAAAGTAAAGCAAAGTACTGTTCAACTGCCTGCCCCTATTCCGATTTGTTTTGAAAAGAGAAATTCCAAGAATTTGCATAACCAGTACTCTACCAAATGAGTTTCTAATAGCACAGCAGAAAACTCAGTTCTATATAACTCCATGGCCTCCACCATGTCACTTTACATACATCCAGACTCCACAGCTTACTAAGACCACTTCCCAGAAATGACAGCTTTACATATGTAATCTCTCTAGCTGTTCCTAAGACTCCAGCTCTAAAAATACTTGCAATTCATTTATGAGTAAGACTAAAAAATGTACGGTGTGTTTAAGACCTCTACTTTCCCTCACACATAACCATGGCCAAAATATTACTACAAACTGTATTAAGTGACTTAGGGTGCCATAGCTCAGCAGCAACAGGGAACAGAACCCAGCTCTAGCACCTTCTTTCAAAAGCCACCCTGCCAGCCCTGCAGAATCAGCAGCAGCAGCCAAACACACCGCACAAGCTTTAGCAGGCCAAAGGTAGCAGCAGCACTTAACAAGTTAGACTGCATTCAGCGCTCAGGCTGCAGTTCCCCAGCTCCTCCAGAAAATAAGAGAATAGCAATGGGGAGTTTTCCATCTCTAGGAGAACTCTCTCTCACTCATAAATGAATTGGCTTTGGGGATCATCAACACAGCAGGACAAGGGGAAATCTCACTATGCTGGTATGAACTCTTATTTTACCTATATCATTTTCCAAACGTTTTAAGAAAAACAATTACTTTTTTTTGACATATCATCAGAACAACTAGAAATCTGGTAAAGAGAGGAGTCAGACTAGAGATTTCTGAGGAGCTGGAATGGTAGGAGGAACTAATTATGTTGTCTTGCAAGCTTCAGTACCCGTGAGTTGCAGCTGCTCATTCAAGTGAAACTTTTCTAATCAGTCTTTCTTGGAAAGGATTTCACACACCTTCATTGAGTCAAGATTTTGACTCATGCCCTCAAGTAACAAAGGCCTTGTGTTTAAGCTTCATTTAGCACATTCTAAAACTAACGTACGGGAACAAGCAGATGGATGACGAAAACAAAGATTAAAGTTTTGCAATCGAGGGGCAGCATAAAACTTGCTGTGAAATCCTCTGAAACAAAAGTTTGACTCCACTGTAAAGAGAGTTATGAACAATATTTATAATATTTATTTTTTGTTAGCTGTAGAACTCCACTACTTATAATAAAAATTGTGTAACAAGTTCTACACTTCAGTTTCAGAACACTAACTCCTCTAAAATCAGTTAGTTATTAGTTTTGAATGTAATTAACAGTATAACAGTTGTGTGTTTTATTGGGAAGGGGTGGTTGTTTTGTTCTGTTTTTTTTTAGAAAGCACTCTGTTCTTCCCCCATGCAGTATTATTCTATACATATGCTCTGTAATCTGCCATAAAAATATTTTAAAAATTACGTTCTTTTCTAAGAAAAATGCATTTCATTTTCTGTTCATTTACCATAAGCTTTAGATGTGTCTGGCAAACTTGTCCTATTTTTATAATAATTTTGTAATAAAGCCTTTTAGTATACTACCTACAGTGTTCTCTGCCATAAAGCAGGCTGACAAAACAAAGCAGAAGCAGCTTTCACATATGAAGCCACATGCACCTTTTCTAGAAGGGATATGGGAAAATGTGCTCTGAGTGAATCTGGGAGCAATTCTGGCATCCTGTGAAGTGACAAAAGTCTGGGAATATTGTTTGAACATAGCAAGGTTCAAGAGAGGGAATGCTCTAAAGATGTTAAGCCTAAATCCTTGCACAGGCCTCAGTGCTGGTTTTGCTCGCTATAGATGATTGTTTAAGTTGTATCTCGTACCTTTAGCATCCGGCATCTGTCTCATAATTTCCTCTCTCTCTGCTTGTTCAGTAGCTGTAGTGACCCTGAATGACCCCTCTCTAGTGAATGTGGTTCTGCTGGCATCAAAGGTGGCAGTCACTCCACACTCCTTCTCTCGCTTCTGCTTTCGCTCCAGGCATGCTGCAAATGCACAGCCCACGGCATGACTCAACCTTTCCCCCTGCACAAGACAACATTGCATCATACAGTAACTGGAACAGAAACATCGCAAAGTCATAACCTGTCTTTATAAGATGCATCTAATTCAGGCATTAAAGAGAACTACTGTAATTGGTCGTCTTTAGTATGGCTCTAAATTAAACCTGGTATATAAAGACACCCAACTACTAATGCACAAGCCATGTTCAAGAAGGCCACCCAGGAATGAAGGAGACTGTTGGATAACCTGTTTAGTTCAACTGTTACTAAGATGATAGTGTGATAATGTGCCTGCATTGATCGCTTGCCTCTGGATACATCTGTGCGCAAAGAAACTCTCCTGAAGCCATCTTAAGGTGTAAATCCTGAAGGACAGATGAGTGCTATTCTTGGAGCAAGTTTACAGAGGGCTCAGGGAGACACAACCTTTGTGTTTAAGTGTGAAAATTAAAAGTACAGGGGTGACTACTTACACCTCTTAATGGCCCTGACCAAATGCACAAGTTAAGAGTGCCTTCTGAAAAGCACTTCCATTATTCACCAGTGAGGTTAAAAGGATCCACTATCCAATAACTGCAATAAGGAAAGGAAATTCAAGTCAGAGGAAGTCCAGCAACCCAGCTGATATGGCGGTGACAGTTGAGTCAGAGGCACTATTGCTACCAGTAGCTCAACTCATCTGTCATAATCAGTAAGTGAATTGACCTGTTATTCACAGAGGAAAATAGAAATGTTCCAGCTCTAACTTAAGTTTTACTGGGAATTTCTAACTTAATTGTTAAAAGAGAAACGATAAATTGTCAAGTACCACTACTCTGAACATGCAGTTCTGTGGAGTTCACACAATAAATTTGCATGAGGTTTCAAGCACTCTGTATAACAAAGGCAGGAATCAACAAAAAGCAGATAGAGGGAAAGGCCAGATCACGGAGTTAAATAACTTACTTAAGTCTACACAGCAAGAAACTGATAGAGGTAACTTACTTTAAACCTTCCACTCAAAACACCTCTAGAAGCAAACAGAAAGCTAATTCAATTCAGTTTAGCTCCATTCCTTAAAATTTGGATGACTTTTCACTCAAGAAAACATTTGCATACAATAGACTGCATTCATAACCAGTCTGTATTTACTTTAATTTTATCCTGGAAAAACTGTCATTGCTGTTTCAGTTTTTGGCTGTAAATATTTTCAGATGAAAAAATTTTCCATCTATTCTTAGAAGAGTAGTTCCTTTCTGCTGGAGATAGCTGAGGCTGACTGCATTCCTTTTATACACATGCTAAGCACCATTTCTCTCCACAAGACGACACCACAGAGCAATGGCAAATAATTCAGATATAGGGAACTAGAACTAAAATGATTTTCAAGGAGTAAGTAACATTCCAGCTGGAGTCAAAACATATTGCAGTATTCCAGGTACTCAATTTTTCTGACCATTACTTCTAGCTATGAGCTAGAAGAGTTGGGCACACACCACATTAAACTTACCGTGTCCTTCACAGCCATAAAGCAGTGGCATATCCAGCGTCTCGTTGTGCCATCTCGACAGATGTATGAGAACGCCCGGTCAAAGTTCCTGTCTGGTGCGCAGAAAGAAACTTTCTCTATTGTCTGATCAACTATAAGATCCTAGAGGAAAAAAATCCCCCCCACAATAAAAGAAACGTGAGGAAATATGGAAAAACACTGAACAAGTAATTTTTAGTAGTAACTGCACAAAGATGAGTAAAAAGAGGGTAACCTGATCTGGCTATTAATTATCTGTCAACAAAGTAACCATTCAGAATCTGTTCCCCTTAAGAAAGAAAAAGAACAGATCACATTTTCCAATAGACGCCTTTGGTAGAAGTGTGCCAAAGCACCACTTAAAGAATTTAGGGACCCAAACAATTCCTATGATCTCTCTCTAGACTATGGAAGCACACATTTTTGTTTTGTTTTGTTTTATTTTTACAGTAGCTCCATAGTCTTGCAATCAGAAAGTCTTTACTGTGCTTATAACACAAACTGAAACTTGTGGGAAAGGTCTTCAAGTGTGAAAAGGTCTAGCAGCTTCTACAAAAAGAGCAAAAACTGATCTGCCAACTAGCTAAGCAGCGATGCAATGGAAAAGCACCAGCAGCACTGGTAGTATCAAACATCTCTGATTTAGTCTCACAGACTGATAGAAGTGTTTTTAAAAAGGAGATAGTACAGTTTAAGACTATGTCACCTTCATTAAAAATTATTTTATCAACTTTTTTCAAAATTGTTTCTTTTGTTTGGTGGCTAGTACTTGGCACCTCTGCTGATGTATTGAACCACCAGGAGGCAATAATATATTCTCTTTTTAAATTTCACACTTTTAATTAACGCCAGAGTCTGCACATCTTATTAAAATTCAAGTTGAAAATATTACATATATGCAGTAACGTTTCTAAAAATAACGTATTATTACTTTTAAATGAGGCAATCAGTAGACTGAGTTCACTCACATCAGTATGTTTGTATTAGAAACTGAATTCTTGAGAGATGGCAGTTTTAGCCCTGACGAAGCATTCCATAACAGCAGCCCTGGAGAAGTCTAGCCACAGAGCAGATATTTGACAGGCAGTACTGCGGAGGGACATGAATTATCTCTGCCTGCCAGTGTTGGCTTGTAGAAATATCTTGTAGGTTGACAAAAGTAAGTGTTTAATTATATGTATATAAAGCAAATTATTTCAGATTGACAAGAGTTAAAACTGTTCTGATAGCCACGTCATCTTTTAAAATACTAGAACACTTGTAGTAGGAAGCCTAAAGCTCTGATTTCTAATTGCCTACATCTACATAAAACCAAGAATCATTTGCTCTTACTTGCACACAGGTGCCTTGGTGGTACATACTCTGCTATTTCACAAAAAAAAAATATGTAACTTCACAATAAAAAAATTGTAAAATAATCTAGAAGGATGCCACAAATACATCAGTCTTCCACTTCAGACCAACAGCTTAGATATTAGACTTAGAGACTATCAAATTTGATATACTCAAGATACTATTTAGCTTGAGTCTGAAGGCACAGCTCCCCTATTTAATTTACTCTCTTCACTGCATTCTCGGAAGCTCTTGTTCTTTCAGACCCATTCTAGGATTTGGATGCACTGGAAATTATATTGATTTATATATATATTATATTGATTAATGTGAGTTTGCCTATGTATTATTATTGCAACCTTCTGCAGTGGTGCAGAACAAAGTCAAGGGACTCTCCAAGTTCACTGTCAACAGAACTTACTGGGGAAAAATATGTTTTTTTCAGTAAATGCAACAAAAAATATTCCAAGCTTGTGCTACACTTGCCGTGTTTTATAAAATGTGTCGAGAATAGTGTGGAATTAACTGGGAAAAAAATTAGCAGGCGTACATATGTTTACAAAGCAAGAAATGATTAAACTAATTACACACTTCAGTCTTCCTTTCAAATACCAACATTTGCATTAACATAGAGATTGGTGTCCATTTGAAGATATAGCACATACATTATCATAGAGAGATTTAAAACTTTTGCCCAGGGAAATCTAACCTTTGTTTTCTCGTCTACAACTCTGAGTCCATCTGCCGAAACCCACAGGACTGCTTTGACGGCCTTCTTCCCAGACTTTCAAGAAAAAAAAAAAAAAGGAAAGAAAAAAAAACAAAAACAAAAACAAAGTTTTATGCCAACAGCAGACTGCCACCTGCTTCCCCTCTCCAAGAACCATAACATTAAGTGTAGATGAAGTCCACGGTCAGTAGGGTGCCCAAAGCTCAATCCAAGTTGCAAAACATTCAGAGAACCAAGCCAAAGCCAGTATTTCAGAAACAGCACATCGTGGGGATGGGGAGAGGGCACAGGACAGGTGAGGCAAAAATAAGGTGTACATCGACAGTAAAGAATTCAAGACTGACCAAGTGGGTGAAAAATTCCACTAGAGTCAGAAGACACTAATTCATAAGGAGTTACACCACAGGTAGCTTCTTTAGCACAAGTTTAAACATAGGAAAATTCTTACCTGATATTTCCACCAGCCCTACCCTCTGCCCCAATAGTCACATGGCAGAATCATAGCATCACCCTAAACCAGTGTTAAAAGCACTCTAAAATCATCAGGTACTACGTAACTCACCGAGTTCATAAGCCTAATGCTAAGATCAATAATCCAAACAAGTTTCACTAATTTTTTAATAGCTAAATGTCAAATCTTGGAAGAGAGGTAGAAAAATACGATTTCTTAACCATTTGCTGTGTATCTTGAAAAAGCAATGGTGTGTGGCAGTCTGATACAGCAGAGGAGAGGTCTGGCTTTTATCCAAGACCCAACGGTGGGAACTTTCAGCTGTTGCAAGCTGAGGGTAAGTAAAAGTGGGAAACACAGGAAGGCTTCAGGAGCCATTTAAATTACAGATTCTTTCTAGACTGTTTACTTTTCAAGGGAAAGTTACAGAAAACAGTATAAATACCATATTCTTCTGAAACGAATTAATTCAAAACAAAATAGGTCAACATAATTCTACTGGTTGTTACTGAGAACTACTACTAGAAAAATAGCTGGGTTTTTTTTTAGCGTGTTACTTTAATTCACAAGCCCCATACTTTAACCAGTTAATAAAATATTCTCCCCATAATGTTTTTTGAAGCACTGGGTTTACATAGTTTGTGGCTGCTAATGGCACCCACCAGAGACCACTCTAGGGATTGAAGAAAGCAACAACAACAACAACAAAAGATGAAGGGGTATCAGCTAGTGGCTTGAAGCAAGAATTGCAACTTTTTAATAATTTTTTTAATAGTGTATTGCAAATGTATATAATTTATATTCCTTCAACAAGTAACGGAACAAGGACACATTCTGACATGTTCCAAGTCTGTAACACCAATTTTAACACTAAGGATGAATTATCTTGGAATGAAAAGTCTCCAATTATATCACATTGGTTTCATTCTCAGAGAAAGCAGCAAGTGTGAAGAAAAAGGGCCTGGCAGAACTTTTGTTTTCTGGGGAGGAACTATCTGTCCCCATTTTGGAAGCAGCAATGACACCCCGGGTTTTTTCAAAAAGCTTGATGAGAACAGAGCATGGCACTGACTTGCACAGAAGAGCGTTTAAAGAGAAAAGAAAGAAAATAAGCACAGCATGAAAGCAAACTACAGAGATGCACTTGCAGAAGCCAGTTTCTAAATGACCATACAGTGTGGGTAACCCAGAAAAGGTTTCATTCAAAATCTGGAATGCCTAATGGAAACATTATAATTCCTAATGGAAGATGTACTTAAATTTACCATCATTTGTGTTAAAAATATTGGAGCATTTAAAAGTCACTTCTAATTTTGGTCTCAAAAGGCAGTAAGTATCAATACCCACAAAATACAGTCTGTATTTTCAATGCTCAGATAGCTCCCATAGCCTAAAAGTCCCTATTATTTCCAAAACAAATGGTTTGTAGAGGTCTGTCTCCTTTAACTGTTTTAAAAAGAGTATCAGTTTCTTATAGCCAATACAAACAATCAAGAGAAGATAATGCCTGCAGGTAACTGGTTTAGATTACCATCATTAGAACAAGAGCTACACATCTTTCACCAGTAAACAATAAAAATCTTGTTCCTACAGAAACTATGAACATTTCCTAAAGTTTGTATTAAAGTCAAGTTTAACTGAGCTGGGTACTTCATAAAACAGTAATGATCTTCAGCAGTGCTACTGCTCACCTGCTATTTTACCAAGTGAGGATTTAGAAATAGCTAACATTAGGAACTTCATGTTTCTCAGAATAAAATGAAAAGACTAAAGGGCTTTCTAAGACCCCTCTTTCCACCGGAAACATAAGTTTCCACATGCAAGATAACCTAACATGGGTTTGCTACATTAAGGGAAAAAGAAAACGTACTTCCATCTCCCAATTCCTTCTAGATTTATGGATGGTGGATGCAGTGCTAAGTGTTAAGAGCTTACAGTCTACACCCCAAACCCACTGCTACTATAGTTGGGCAATGAATGATTTTCCCGTTTACTGAATTTGCAGCTTATCTGTGCCTCCCAGTGATGTTTAAAGGAACATACTTCTCCAAATCAGTTTATATTGGATATACAAATCAAAGTACTATTCCATTATGGGCGGGATACCACCCAGTAAATCATGATTACAAAGTAGATAAGAGCATTTGCACTTCTGGCACATACTGGACAAAGATCAGACCAGATACAAGATACTGCATGGAAAGCAAACTCCACTGCAGAACTGTAGCTTGTGTAATAAACACTGAAATGTATAGGCAACTCCAAACACAAATATTTAAAGCAAATAGCCAATATCCACTGGAATGGCATGGTCCTAAATGTTGCTACCTCATCTAGAGATCCAGAGCAGTAGCTTGTCTTCATATGAATTCCAGAGTTTTTGGATGACAACACTGCCTGAGGAGAGCCATGCGTGGAACCGACTCCTGGAAGCCTGATTTGTCAGTGCTGAGTCAGCACCAACAGAAACATCCCTGCTCAGCACTTCTGGGGAGGTCACTAACCTGCTGCAATACAAGATTCATTATCTGGACTAATTTCAGAGTCCTCAGACATCTCCAGGAGGGAGGGCAGGCACTCATTCTTCCAGGCCCAAAGACAAAGCAGGACCATGGTGGGCTGGGCACAAAGGAAATCTCACTGACAAGCTGGCAATGCCCTAGAGATGGGCATCCACCAAACAAAAAGTGGCTACTCTATTGTAAGGTGGAAAATAAAGTTTTAAGGACACCAGAGTACAACTGAAGTTGCTCAATAATGCATTTTTTAAACATATCTACATTGTTTCTAGTATTTCTGCCTATTTTATTCTGTCCTGGGACTTAGAAACAGCTCTAAGATGTATGTGGAGTCTGAGGTATATATAAAGAATTTGTTTTCATTTCAGACTCCATATAAACACTGTGTGGTGAGAAATACACACATTCAGTGGAAGCAAAACATAAGAAAGATCATCAAATCCGTACCACTACACTTTTCAGCAGAAAAGCTTTAGTTTAAAAAGATGAAGAGCTGCCTAAAAAGGCATCTTATTTGATAACTGCAGAAGCCTAACCCAGAGCTATTAACAGACATCTCATTTTTATTTAAAGCTGAAAAAAAAGCATTTTCAATACTAAACAACTGAACATTTCCAGACACAAATCTATCAGATTTACCTTTTATGAGGAGAAAAATATGGACAGGGAAAGCAGAAAATATGTCTAGACTGACTTTCTGAGGGCTGTTAGCATGTTTTAAGCAGCTCTGCAGTTTGGAATATTATATTAATCCCAATGCAAGGCATCTGGGGAGAAACTATAGATGAGACAGCCAAAAGATATTAGAGTTATTAGTATTTCTCAATTATTAATAAGAGAACAGCTGTCCCTTTCTTTGCAGATTTCCCTAGATGCGGGCTACTGTTGTAGGCCAAAGCTATAAAAAAGGCACTGCCATACTGGTGCTGTGGGGATATCTAAACACTGTGGATTTAAGTGATTTCAGTGCTAATTAATGAAATTCACAGGTTGAAGTAGAAGTAGGTCCTTCTTTGTCAAAATATAATATAAGACAAAGCAAATCTACAATGATGTAGTAAAGTATCGGACTTCATTAAGAAAGCAACTAAGATGTAATAAGGAAGATGGCATATTTAAAAATTTAAAAAGTCAAAGAAAGATTTTTATCTAAGTGCTATGTCAATATCTGTCCTTCTACATCTTTGCTCTCTCACGTATCCTAACATAAGTTAATAACAACAAGCAGAGAGAAAACTAACATATCTGATGAGGTTGAGGTAGGGGTTTTTCTGTCTGTTTTCAATTTAGCATTTTGGGTTTGAAAGCAAACAGCACGTTTTGACTCCAGTCTTTGTAGATTCCAGCTCTTAAATTTCATTTGTGCATAGGAATGATCTCATTAATCTGACAGATCTGCCATCTACTGTATTTTAGCCCCTCACCATCACTACACTTTAGACGTGTGCTTTCCTAGATCATAGGAAGAAAACTGAATTGGGGAAACAGCTGTCCCTGTGTGACACGGATCACTAACTGAGTGAACAGTGAAAAAGAAGCAGCTGAAAAAACCTTACTTACTCCCCAGGCAAAGCCAAAACAAATCCGAGACCACAGAATAATCTTCGAAAGACTCCAGTATGCATGGATGTTACAAACCTTTTAGTTTCTATTTAAGCAAAGTTTCACTTTATAACAAGATACTTCAGAAGCCGTATTTTAGATTAACTCCATATGAAAGCTAAATTAAAACGCTTTACAAAATTTTAAACACAGAGGGAGGAAAGAGATGAGAGGGAAAAGAGAGAGTGGTCTTTCTGCCTTGTGGAGATGTAGACAGCAGGAATAAAACCACCCAGACAACAGTAAAGCACATTCTTAATAAGGACAAAGAGTTGCTTCTCTTCTTGTCTAAGACACTGTCCTCGTGAAAACAAGAGCAATGACAGAAACTGTAAACTGAGTTGAAATTAGGAAACCATAGTAGGTAAATGCCTGGTCTCATCTCCATATACCTTTGAACTAGGACTGTCCTCAAAAAAGGAAGGTTTAAAGAGATGGCACACTGCTTTCTCCCAGTGCTAACATTGGGGACCAATTCATGGTGTCAGGAAGCTGAGCACGAAGCACTTACAAGGCACAGACCTCAACTGTTCTGTAGGTATTTGCCCAGGTGATGTAGGTTGGCATAAGTTTAAGGGTTTAAAAGGAAAATTTTAATTGTTTTTCAGGAAGACCAAATCACTTCAGAACATTGGATCTCCAATACAGTTCACAGAGATTTAAGTTTCTGTTTCAGGTTACTTTTTAGACCATATTCTTACTTTGAACCCAAGTCTGTTTTAGAAGTAAATATTCTGAAATGGATTTGGGAACTCTCAACAGTGCTATACCAGGGATGTAACTCCTTATAGTGCAAGCACAAACAAGGCATTAAACTTACTTTTCCAAAGAAGCCTTTGAAGAACTTCCTTTCCTGGAGGAACAGGGGGGACAAGTCGAGCGCTATTACTGTAGGTAGCTAAAATGTCCCAGGGTTTTCAAACCAACAAGCACACACAAGAATAGGGTTTGGAGGGAAAGGAAGGGGGTTTTAGAGTTATCCATGAGAAGGTGCGACAGGCAAATGTGAAAATAATCCCATGAAAATGCAGATCAAAGGGCACACACACAATTCTAACAAGCTACTGCCCTGAAATTGGTGGAAAGAAGAAAACCTCAGCCCCAATTTCATGCAAAGGGGTTACTTTATTTTCACTCTCCCTTGTTTAGTCCCTTTTAGTTAGGTTATAAACCAAACTTGGCAGCAGACACGGTGGTTAAACAATTAAAATACTGTATGAGCTCTTGTGAAATGCAGAGTTCTAACTCCAGAACTGCAGTCAAGTTTGCTCTGTATTGATCACTCTTTCCCACGCAAATGCTCTGTAAGCTGGAGAAGCACGTATGGCTGTTATAAAGCAGGGGTAAATACTGCTTCATTTTATTCCTTTTATTTGTTGCTCTGGTTTACACGCTACTCTTACGCTTCACGTCTTATGCAGTCTTCATCGAAGAATGACGAATTTCATGTTACCTTGTGGTAAAACTAAAACACAAATGAGAGCCCTTCCTCTTTCTCTAAAGCCTTCCAAGACTTTATGTAATATTTATACTAGTTATTCATTCTACAACTCTGAATGGATAGGCTGAACAGTCTTTCAAGTCAGCTCAGACAGGGGAAAGACAGACAAGTGCAAAGATACCAAGGACTGAATTACGACTTCCTAAATTTCTTCAGCCTGGAAGCGATTATACTGCTTGCTAGGTTTGCATTAAGAAAAGGGCAGCAAGCAATTTTAAGCAAATCTGCATGCAGTTTAGTTTACCAGCTTTATTTTGTTATCAGATTGTGGAAATTAAACTAGAAGATCTGAACTGATTGGCTGAGAGAACACTTCCCCAGGCCTGGTGCTCTGTGAGCACAGCCACATGCTGCTCCACGTTTGAGGGAAGCTGACATGAAGCATAGAGCTGTTCCTGCTATCTTTTCAAATTGTTTCACTTCTAAGAAAGCTTTTGTATAATAGTAATGAAGAGGAGGTGGAGAATTGCAGATGAGACAGGGAGCATCTCTGTGACAGCTCCTGACCCCACATTTACACTGTGCAATTCCAACCTGTTGATCACTGATAATATTATATTAAAAATATTACCACAAATATCCTGAGGCAGTGTCTCCAGAATTGATTGATAAACAAGGTTATATTTAAAACAAAGCTATGGTTCTGACGCAAGTCAACAAAAGCCAGGAAACACAAAGTTAAGAAGGGAGTGTCAATCTCGACTTTGCATTTCCTGGCCTCTGCTGCTGTGTGCCTCTCTGCCCCATGTCCTTCTACGGTATGTTTTACCAAGTATCTGCAACAGTCATGTCAACTCAAAAAGAACATCTTCAAGTTCAGTCAACTGAAAAGCTTAAGAATTTTTGGAGGCAGGAACGGTTCTGTATTTGGACAGGATGTGCTGAACACTAGGAGGGGAACTAATGGATTAATCACAATGTAGTGTACATAATGAGAAGGGGTTGGATGCTGCTGCCAAGTTGAGCAATGACTATTGCATTACACTAAATAACAGCTTTTTAAAGACAGCAAAAGCTAAAGAGATTCACCAGAAGCTACCTCATTTTTAGGTGATGGTTAATTTTACTCTCAGCAAAATGCTTGTTAAACAAGATTTTTTTTTAAATAAACCAGACAAGGTTAATGGAAAAGGCATCATGCAAAATGGGTTTTAAACAACACTAAGTTAATGTAGTTTAGAGATAACTAATGCATATTTTAAAATATTAAATTATGCCTCTTTACCTGCTAAAACAAGAACATATATTAAAACAAATGCATCATTTAAAACAAAAAGTGGCAAGTTAGAAACCATACTACAAGCTAAAGCTGATTTAAAATAAAAATATGACATGAGAGAGTATACTTTTGTCTTTATATGATGTTACCACACCTGAGTCGAATACACTTACAAGGCCCTTAAAGTTACTATCCAGTTGGCACTAAATATTTCAAATTCAATTAAATGGTTATGAAGAAACCATTTAGAGCTTAGTGTCCAACTACAAGGATCTTACCAGATAGGAAATGTATACAGAGTTAGCAATATATCCCTACTAAGGGAAAAATGTAAGCTACATTGGTAATACCCTTTTAAGGGAAAAATGCAAGCTCCATTGATAATATATAAACCCATGTTAATAATAGACTAATAGCTGAATAGATGGATTTCTAATCTATTAATGAGACTGTAGTGCCATTTCATCTGACAGAAAATTACGTATTTTTGGTGTGCAGTTTCAGAGCTACAAAACTGTAACAACAGAATACAAGCATGGATGAGGGATTCTCGAGCTTAAAGTGGCTTCTTTTACTCAGCTGTCAATTAAACAATGTCTGAATAAGATGCTCACCCATTAACTGGTTTCAGGTTCTGCAAGACGCAATACTCAAAAATAATTATGCCACATAAAAGGAACAGGTAATAAAAAAATCCCTGAAAGGTTATTACACATGATAAAGAGACAAAGAGATTTGTTTGCATATTTTCTTTCAAAAAGCAAAGCAGTAATTAAACTGATTAACACTGTTCTATATTCTTGACAAATCCCATTAATTTTTTTTAAAATCCAGGAGTCAGCCCTATAAAAGAACAGCCTTCAGTTCCCCAAATGAATTGCCAACTGTTGTAGAGCAAGAATTAAGAGGGAAAAATATATCTATTAAAATAAGTAAAGACAGACAGAACTTAATTATTAAAAGCTACAAGACACAAGTATTTCAACAATTCTCATTTTTATTGACTGGATTTATAAAACCTACACCTTACCTGCAGAGAAAAAAAGAAAGACTGAAGTAGCTGAGATACATTTCGATGTAGTTTAAGCATACAAAAAGTGAAGTCCAATTTCCCTTAAGCTAGTCTTTCAGTATGAGAGCACTGCACCTTAAACTTGTAATTCTTTCAAAATCAAGAGGAAGCCCACTAAAATAACTAAGTAGTGTGAAAGAAAGAGACTACCAGAAGAACAAACTGTTTTCTTACCACATTCCTTGCATGCTGAAACATTACCCAGTGTTTGGCTTCTGCTAAATTAAGAGAGCATACTGTACAGAAAAGAGCTTTCAGCAATAGTGGTGTCCTAAAGAAATGCCTCTGGTTTAAAAACTACATGCTGGGGAGAGGGGCATGGCTTGAATTGCAGTGAGCAGCTCCAAATGAACTCCAAATGGATCTGATGGAGTCTAGCAACTACAGCACATATAAAGTACTTTCAGTAACATGAATCTTCCTCTTGGGGCCCAAAGTGAATTTCACCTCTACTTCTCAACTTCCAACACTGACAAAGGAGACAATGTAAATAGCAATTGTAAGAGATGTCAGCTTCTGTTCAGTTTATATACAGACATCAAAAACTTCAAACTGCAGAAAAAAATCAAAATTATCTGAAGAAAAACGTTTAATTCAGGAGAATGGGTAGAATTCACACCATCGACAATGTGGACTAATGACATAGCACAGAATAGAGAAATTAAACTATTTATTTCCAGGGAATGCACTGTAAAAGTTAGATATCTAAGTCTGACATTTGAATCAATAATTCATGTGATCAAGAACCATAATCCTGGAATTATCCATATTCTAGAAGAAATTGGGTGCTATGCTTTTACTATGTCTCATTAATTATAAGCTTAGCTACTCTTAACTGACTTGTGGACTTGTAAGATTTTTATAACTAGAAAACAGCTACTTCACGGCATAGCTCCCCAGGGAAGAGAATGAGAGAAGTTCCATAGCGTAGATACTGCAGTGGTATTTGTTTGCTAACAGAAAGTATTCTGAGAGAACAAAAACCAAAAAAGGACAAAACCGGATGCAATTCATTATGTGGTCAATATTTGCACTTTTAGGTACATAAACTAAATCCAGAGAACAAAGAAATTAATTTATATTTGTGTGGCCCTTTTTAATAAAAATCAATCACCAATCACTGTGGACTGACTGAATGAGAACAGATGGGATGTGTCTTTAACAGGTTGCTATACATTAGCTGAGAGAGAAAAGAATGAAAAGACTTGATTTTAATCAGAGCATTAAACCAATTCAGAAACTTTTCAGCACAACAGAAGGCAGAAAAGATAACCTATAATCTTCCACTGTGTGCTAGAAAGAAGGGAAGAACAGGTCTAGATGGAAGTCATTTGAGCTCTCAGATTTGGCGAGGTTAAAAAAGGGACGTCCAATAGCAGATATTTTAAGTTAGCAAAAGTGCAGTAGAAGTGTTTGATGGACTTCCAGTGATTTTGTTGAGCTGCAAGGATACAAGAGTTTCTTCCACTGAAGGCACACTGAAGAATATATAGTTAAAACATGTAAGAGAAATGATGACAAGGATTGCAGTTCTCCATTTCCATTCAAAATTCAAATTTTTTATGTCCTTTCTCCTGTTCTTTTCAATGATGTTATAGCCTCAGTTCCTTGATAGACTGATCCCTGCCTTTCTAGAGTTTGCTATTTCCGCAGGATTTTGTGGTATTATTACTTCAGGAAAGAGATGACAAGACCTCTTCAAATGAGCCACAGAACTACAAAGAGCTTTGAACGAGTGCCATTTACAGGAGCAAACGTTCACAGAAGCCAAACTAAGAGCAGCCCACTTCATGACATATCAGAATTAGGCAGCCTTCAGGCCACTTTGAGCAGATGCAAGCCAGATTATTTCATGCATGACTACAATGTTGCAGTGCATTACAAAAAAGCAGCCTAAAACAAGTAATATTTTGTATAATAATGGTGAATTAAGTCACTATTAAAGTGGCAGGCAACAGAGGGGAAAGAGAGAGAGGGGGAGAAGAAAAGAGAGAGAGGGAGAAAGCTGTTAAAAAACAATGGTTCAAGTCCCATGTGGGTACCAACTTAGCCTGAAAGGTCACAGAGAATTTACACATTTGTTTTGCAAATAGTTTCTGCAAGTAGAAAGAACAGTTGTAACTCTCCCTCTCATCATCAGATTAGCATGTCCCCCTAACTGCAGCAGTGGTCCCAAATCGGCCAACTGTTCTCCTAACATGGGTCAAAAGTTCAGTCCTTAGCTGGGGCACTGCTGCCGAACTGACCTTTTCCAGTAACACTCACAGCCCCAAAGCCAACTTTGTCATGAAAAAAATATACATACAGATTTCAGCCTCTTCACAGCATCTTCACAGATATGCATTCCTCTGGATTCATCCACTTCGACATGTCCCAAGTACTGCAGGAAAGAGAGTAGGGAGAGAAAAGCTTAATACTAGTTCCTTAAACTCCCAGGGTTTTGATGAATCCAAGCTCTGCATTCATCTCAGTACAGCTGAGATGACAGACACTAACAGCACTTTGCCAGCCTTCTTTTGAGACCTGCATTTGAGGGTTTGACTGTGTATATAATGTGGTGCACCAGCACCAGCAGAAAAGCGTAATACAACTAGGAATTTTGAGGGAAAGACAGACTTCCCTTACTCAGGGGAAAATATGAAATTGAAAAGTACTGAAAACTGTATTTTCCTGCTTATTCAGAATGAGCTTCAGTCTTTTCTTTTACCAGCATAGCATGAAAATCTTACATCAATATAGGGATATAGGGGGACGATGAATAACTTAGCTTTGAATAAATATATTTACTATCCAAAACTGAATTACACTACACGGTAAGATGAATAAATACATTCAAATGTTCATGTCCAAATACAAGAAATTTCAATGTTGCAAACAGAAAAAAAAAAAAAAATCTTTCCTTGCTCCCTTCCCCTCTATCCTACCTTTTTTTAAATTGTAAACCAGAATTGTTTATCTTCATTAAACCAACAAGCTGTTAAGTGGACACAGAGACATTTATCATTCTTACAAAAAGGTTGGAGTTTGAATTTTTAAATTTTTTTTTAATTTGTTTTTTAAATATGCAGATTTCAAAAATGCATATTCATCTTACCAAGCACTACTTAAAAAACAAAACCAAAAAAACCCCCAGCAAAATAACACTGAATAGAAACTTTAAGTTTCAAAGCTTTCAAATTTACAACCCAGAACAATATTAGCCTATAGAGAAAGCAATTGCAGGAAATACATCAGTGTAGTGTCTGGGATAGTTTAATTCTACATTCTGTAACTTTCTGGAACTTTTAGCTCTAACTTTTCCAATTTCCTTACCTTTTCCAATCATAGTTCTTTTTGATAGGGGAAGGAAATGTTCTCTCAGAAAAATTCATATTCTTATTCAAAGTACTTAACTCTTGAACAAAACTATTAAAAGCTTTCTGAAGTTTTGTAATAAGAGCTATAGGTCAGAGGAAACTTTCCCTGATTTACGTGAATTGTATGCAATTCAGCATTTATATTCTAGGCTAGCTAGAGAGTGAATAAGTGGTTTTAAAATATAAGAACCAATACTTGTGTCGCGTAACGCAGTAGTGACCTAGGTTTAATAATCTATTGACACGTCCCACTCAATAACAGAATATTCTATCATGAGTTACCTGAAATCTCCTAGATTTTGTTTCATTAATTAGGATACCATACTTAGCTAGATGGACAAAAATATTTCACTCGTTAGCACCATACTGAAGCAGTTTTAAATTAACATAATAGATTCAACTAAATGGACAAAATCAAGACTGTTTTAAAGATTTAACAGAAACTGGAATGTTGAGGTCTTTTCATGCAAGGTAAGGTGCTCCAGAAGGAGACTCTATATATCATTAAACTGCTGAAAGGTTTAAATATCTTAAGTGACAGAGGGCTTTAACATTAAATCTCACTATGTAGCGTTTTCTTCAGAGTTAAATGTGGATGGAACGATTCTATGAGAATTTCATTTAAACCAGCCCTCACAGCTGGAGAACAACTTGAAAAATAAATTGCATAGACACTAGAAGGTAAATAAAAGAGATCTGACACTTTAGAGCTTTTTGAAAATGAGTTCTGTGAGGCTGAAGCCTTATAATTGAATGCTGGAGTTGCCAAAGCAGCAACTGTACTCCCTCAGCTGAGCTTGCGGAACTCTTGCACAATATCTTGATTTCTCCAAAACACAAACTAGAACATTTTAATCCTAAGAATACGCAAATAGTAACAGCTAAAGATGTAATTACTATGTGTCTGGAAGTATGTATGTATATTAACAACCATCATAGATGGATATTCAGTTGTGCCATGACTCCTCTGGAAATTCCAGAGTCCAGAAATGCAGAAATTCTGTCATTGTAGATACCTGTCATGAGAAAGTTTTGGGTTTAGTAACTTCTCTTTAAAAAGAGAGTGATATAGAGTGATATAGACAGAATAAGACTGAAGTTTATACTGGACAGAAAAAAAATACATGTAGGAAATGAGCCATCTAGTTTGCACAAACACTAAGTATCATTCAAATAGAAGACAACTTTCAGATTTCCTGAGCTATCTGCACATCTCATTTACTCCGGTGCAGGTGAAATGTTTTTAACTGAAGATCCAAACCATTCAGTCCCCGTTCTTGGCAACCTGCCTTTTGGTTGGAAAAGGGAGAAACAGAGCAGAGTAAATATTGCCTCATATCACACTCCAAAACAGACAACCATTTTCCCCTGTGTTGCCAAACCTCTATTCAAGTCCCATGCTCCAACTTTCAGCAATCAGTCATGCCACTGGTGCTGGAGACAGCAAGTTTAGCTGCAGTTTTCAAACACTGCTTCCACCCCAGTGAATGGGGACATTATTACACATATCAAGTGCATCTACCCACACCAAGAGGCTACAATCCACAGACCTCATTGAGCATCAATCAATTCTGAATTATAAAAGAAATTACACTGTCGCACAATACTTCTTTATTATATGGAGGACAAAAGCTGCTTTGTTTGCATTTACACATTACACTTTCAGTCCTTCATCAAAAAAACCCTTCTTTTTGCCATTGCACCATTTTTGCAGAAACCAGAAGCTCATCGTTATCAGTGGCCTTGCATATTTTACAGGCAATTTCGAATTTTTTCCTGCTTTGTTTTTTTCCTTTTTCTAGGATGGGATGGTGGTACATTAAGTCCTTATACATGCCAATTTACTTTTAAGTTTCTTTCTTGTAAAAATAAATTTCAGCTGTATAATCAGAACGCTGTGGGTCTCTTCTTCTTTTAGCCAAGTGTCCCTTAAGCCGTAGGCCTCCTTCAAAATCTTCAAGTTTATTTCTAAAAAACTTTTTCCCCTGCCAGGCTGAGAGCAGATACACGTGGCTGCTGTATTTAACCAATGCTACAATATTTATCTGACTTTTAATGGGACATAATCAAAAAACTAAATATTTCCTTAAGAAAATTGGCAAAAAACTGCTTCAAAGACTGAGACCTTTTCTGGTATGCTTACATATACACAGAAGTATCGAACTGTAATTATATATCACAACCCAGCCTTAAATTTGAAATATTGGCTCAACTTATTAGTGCAACAGCATTTTAAAAGTGACATTTCAAAATTTAATAAAGGAAATACAGCTACTAGTTAAGAGTCTGAAATTAAACTTAAACACCAGAATTCAAGACTTAGGAAAAATAAACCATTGTTAAATTCTGTTGTTCCACTACAGTTAAGAGATTACCTGGAAACCACTTTAAAAAGCAGAAACACAAATCCCACACTGGTATAAACAACCTTTCAGGATCTCTTAAAGGAACTTCCCTTTCAAACTAAAGGAGAAGAAACATACTGCTGAAGTGCCTGGGCTCGCCCTATGTAAGTGAATCTGCAAATCTATATCAGCACATTATCACAGACACACTCAAGGGCTGGGACACACAACAACTGCGTACACAAAAATCAATGTGAACTGCCTAAGCCATACTGTGGTGGATGATGACTTCGAGAACAGTAAGGAAGAGGGTACCCCGGATATGTCTGCAAAGAGCATTTCTTGTCACAGGGATTGCTGCAGCTAGTGTTCCTGGAGAAAGCGAGTACTTTTCCATCAGGAAAGTGCACATAGCAGGAATGCAGTATTAATATTGAATGCACTCATACTTAATTTCCATAGCAACCAATGAATGATAGTCATGACATCAGCAATTCTCGGACATAAGATGTTCTGTAAGAGATTTAATCGTTATACCAGAAATTAACCACCAATGCTTTTACAGAAAGCTAAAATCCTTGTGGACAGAATCCACATACAAAGTAACATAACATAAAAGCTCTAATCCAAATAAAATATTTTCAGGGGTTGCTGGAGAAGCTCTTAATGCAAACATTACTAAATAGAAGTACTGCTTATATTAACATTTTCAGAAAACAAAAAGGATGATGGTACAGCAAATTAAACAAAAAATAAAAAAACTTTCCCTCTTCACCTCTGATTTTTATGTTCTATTTCACTGATGGTAGTTTTTGGTATCTCAAGTTAAACAGAAAGCAATCGACAGAAGAACAAGTCACATAGCAAAACATCCTTACAACTTAAAAAATGCTTGAGAAACTTTATTATTTTTCAACATTTTAAACTTTTTTCAACTTCATCTAAAAATGAACAACTCAAGTTACCATATTAAGTGTTTGTGGTGAAGCTGTCAGTCCTACTGTCATCCCCCAAATATATGCTACTGAAATAGCTCCTATAAAACATCAAGGGGTCATATATCAGGTCAGAAACATTGCTGATGAGAAACAAAACAGATCTACCATTTCTGTCTAGTACAAGAAACAATGCCCTCATTTTCTTTGTTTATTTTCATTTCTTTCACAAATACTGATTGACTCGGTTTTCAAAATTTCAAAGTTCAACAATAATAGCTGGCAAAAAGATCCTTCACCAGAGCTCCTTCTACCTAGACAGCTCACTCATGCCACTTTTGTTTCAAGTCTGGTAATATGCTATTACAATCTTTCTTTGAAACAGACTCAGCTACGCAAATAATTGGGCGTTCCCTCTGTTTCAGCAGATGTTCACATGCGCTGTTTACTTTGCAATAACAGATTAGGTTCTTCGGATTACATTTGAAACTAGACGGACACAGAAAATGAGCTTACTTGAAGTCTTGTCCAAGGTGTCCTGTGCTAGGAAACTAGCTGCCACAGAGAAGAGCACACCAGCATTCCTTGGTACTTTTCCTAGAGGCAGCAACATTCCTCTTTCTTCCTCTCTGTAAGTTCTGGGGTATTAGTTGCAACAGTAAGACTGACTACTTGACATCTGTGTAGATATGCTTCTGGGATTGGCATTGCTCAAGATTTAAAGCCTGAGCTCCAAAGTTTCAC